CTTTTATTAAACCCATTGGGCATGTCCTAGGAGAAGAGAATTCAAGACAATGGAGACTAACTACATTTTAAATATAAAAGTTCCTAAGATCATAATCAGATAAAACTATCAAGTCAAAGCTAACTCATGGATCGGGCGAGGTGCCTGTAATCTCAGTGGCCCAGGAGGCTGAGGCATGAGGATTGCAAGGTCAAAACCAGCCTCAGCATCAGTGAGGCACTAAGCAACTCAGTGAGACTCTGTCTCTAAATAAAATACAAAACAGGCCTGGGGATATGGCTCAGTGGTCCAGTGCCCCTGAGTTCAATCCCCCATACCTCCCCCCAGCCTCCAAAAAAGCTAATCCATTTGGAAATTTATGAATAATCTATTATACAGAAAGATCTAATTAAAACTTGTTCATCAAAACCAGAAGAGAGATGTATGAAATACCTTCTAGGAAAAGGAGTTTTGCTCTACAAACTAAACACACAAACAATACCACAGGGTAAACATTCAAACAGGAAAGTACTTATTAAAAAGCACTTCTGCACGATGGTTGCTGATGGCTGCTGTTAATTATGAAGGAATTTTATCTTCATTATAGTGGGCCCAATGGGGTCTCCACTTATAATAGTTATTTATTAAAACAAATCAAATTTTTCTTAATAAACAAAAATAGCAATTTAGTTTTGCCACTAATTTAAATTAATGAGTTGACTTACTAGAGCGGCATTTTTCAAAGTATGTTTCATAGATTGCCTTTTCACATAGCGCCTCTACTCACTCAAAGATCCATGTCTTAAAGGCTGTGTCTCCAGCCCACAGTACTCCTGGGAGGCAGTGGAACCCAGTGGGAAGTCTTCTAGTCACATGGGGGACTGCCCTTGAAGGGGATATTGGAACCATGACCCCTCTTCATTCTCTCTTTTGTTTCCCAGGCATCAAAAGGTGCTCCTGCCAAGATGTACTAACTTGTCATAGGTTCAAAAGCAATGGCAACAAAACCTCCAAAACTGTTAGCCAAAATTAACTTCTTCTTTTTAAGTTAATCATCTCAGATAGTTTGTTATAGTAACACACAACTGACTAACACAGAAAGGATTCTAGTCAAGTCAGGACAGCGGCTTGAAAGTGTGCACAAGAAAGCCTCTGAGAGGGAGGTCCCAGAGTACAAGGGCCTGCCATACAGAGTTTAACCCAGTCTCCCATGTGACCCTAGAGACCTTTTTGATTTTTTTTCTTCAAGGAAAATCTATCAAAATCTGATCTGGTTAATCCTCATGGTACCCTGATAGGGAAGCCCCATGGGAAAATCCCAGTAACAATCCCACCCACCCACACTCTATTACCTATTGGTCAAGGGATACATGGATCTTGGTGCCCGTTCTGCCTCAAGGGAAAGGGGAATCTGTTCAAAGTCCCCTAGGCTCAGAGATTACACCTGTTTGCTTTCAATACTTCTAAAAAGGAATAAGGAGAAAGCTGCTCTCCAAGGTCTGAGTAAGAGAGCTGAGGCTGGAAGTCAGGATGGGCCCTTGAAAGAGGGAGGTGATGTCCTCCTGCCCACACTTGGGATGGTGGCCTGGCAGGCCCATAGAGACAAGGTGAGAGATGGCACTCTGGTCATCTGCCCCAGTGGCCAAGGCAAAGGGCCAGCTGTTAAAAGGAGGAAGTCCTTTCTCCCATAGCAGAGGGCATCCATCAGTTGCTTCTGGAAATACAAGGCTACAAAAGCCCTTATACAGCCCCCATCTGTAGGAGCCCTGACCCTTGTCTCATTGCGATCAAAAGGAACTAACGTATGGCGTGGCCCAGGTGAGAGGAGGCAACCCCGTTTCACCAGGCAATAAAGCTGCGGGCTCCAAGAACCCCCATAATGGAAACAGGCAAGACTCCAGGAAAGGACAGACTTCAGCCAGACCCAAACCCCCAGGGACCAGCGTCAGCCGTGACCACAACTCCCTGCACCGTGTGTTTGTAATAAAAGGTTTCTCCAACTTGATCTGGGGGCACAGTAGGGCTACACCCCCATCGGATCTCCTCCTTATCCTGAGTAAACTTCTTCATGAGGAATTTTTTCAAAGCACATCAAAACCTGTTGAAAGTCTTAAGAAAAAAAATGCTAGGGGCTGGGGTTATGGCTCAGTGGTAGAGCACTCGCCTCGCACGTGTGAGGCCCTGGGTTCGATCCTCAGCACCACATTAAAATAAATAAAGGTACTGTGACGATCTACAAGTAAAAAGATTTTTTTTTTTTTTTAAGAAAAAGATGCTAAACCAAAATATTTTCAGAAATTCTGAAATTACATGGCTCCATGAAGTAGGCTGGATTTTGAGGAAGGTTTTTGTGCCCTTCTTGAGTCTGGGATACAGACTTTTCTTATTCATTTTAACCACATCAAGAAATCCCCTAAGAGATTCCATTTTCTCAGCGAAGAAAGTTACAAAAGAGAATTCGAAATGGGCTCGTTTTCTCAAGCAAAATGAAACACTTTTATGTTTTATTCATGCAAAGTGAAAGCCCCTTTCCTTTGCAGCATTACAAATTGAATTTGCTCTTGTAAATTGCTGTTAAAAAAAAAAAGATTCAAAAGCAAAGGAAAGTTAAAAAAAAAAAAGAAGAAGAAGCACCAGGCATACAAAGGCCCTTCTTCTAGGGAATGATGAAAACTCGGAATCCATGGGGAGAAACAGAAGCTTTCACTGGCAAACATGCTTTTTTTATTTACTGCTTCATAAGCAATCCTGCCCAAGGGTCCCCACAACCACAGGAGCTTGCTGGGGTTCTGACAACCTATGGAGAGCCCCAAGTGTACTACTAAAGCATGCTCATCTGCTAACCCTAAGGAGGAGGGGCTAAAACCAGGAGTGATCTGGCCCACATTTGAAAAATGAAACCGAGACAATGTTGCCTAATTTTCTCCAATTTCTTTGGGGCAAGTGGCTCTTCCCTTATTGTAGGACAACTGCACTCATCAGTGTCTGCAAAGCCTCTCACCCTCTATCTCAAATCATCCACTGTCCTTGAAGCCTCCACAGTGTCTGATTTCTCCTCTGCTCCCGGTGTCTCAGAAAGAAGTCATGTAATTAGCCGCATCTGCTAAGTGTATGTTGCTTTAAAAAATCAAGAGCAAACATTCATTAAGCATTTGCTGTGTCTCTATCACAGTGCCAATTATCACATACACACACTGGCACACACAAACATGTGTTGTGGTCCCTGTTAGGATCCTCATCTCTCAGATGAGAGAAAATGAGGCTCAGAGAGCTTGAAAAATTTGGTCAACTTGAATTTGAATCACCCCCCCTCCCATTAGGTGTGGAGAATCTGGACTCATTTTAAAGAGTTTGGGATGGGCTGGAAACGACATCAATAAAATCCACACATAATGTAACCTTGAGAATCGACATGCAGGCTGTGGGTGTAGCTCAGTGGCAGAGCACTTGCCTGGCACGCTGGAGGCCTTGGTTCAAGCCCCAGCATAACAAGACGAAGACAAAAACCAAACAAAAAAACCCAAACACACAGCCACACCTGGTTGTTTATATAATGATCTCTACCTTAAGAACAAAATTGGAGTGGGGGCAGGGTAGGAACCAGGAAAGGTTCAAGCATTTTCCATCCAGAGCCTTCTACCAAGGCTAACCGTTTTTGATGATGACCAAATGCCACCAGATAGTTTCTTTGTAAAATGAATCAACTGATGTCAAGGCACCAACTCCAGTGCTACATTTCTGCCAAGGAAGTGAAGGGCAGGTGCATCCATGCTGAAGCACCTGCCCCAGATGTCAGCACTCACACTGACAAAAAGCTCCAAGATGCACTGAGCCTCCCGGGAAGGCTGACCCAATCAGCAGTCGGAGAGCGACTTCAGTCCTCTCCTTGGTAGGCCATTCCTCACATCTGGTTCCAGCATAAATGCTCATTCTTTAACTGATGAATATTTAGTCATAATACTTCCTTTCTGGTTGAGGACTTGGAACTGGATCAGAGGATCATCAAACTCGCTAATGCCCAGCATTCATAGAGAAAGTAAGTGATAAGACTTGGCAGACCTGCCCCCTTAGAGAACCAGATGACCTGATAAAAAGCCAGAATGCTCAGGAACGAAACCATCAGCCCAGGAGAGCCATCTCTGTCATCTGGGATTCCCACCCTCTTTTGCAATGCTGTCAAACATTTTCAACAAAGCAGCGATTTCAACAATACCTAATCATCCATGCTTGTCCTGGACATGAGGAGATCCTCCATTAGTTTGGAAACTGGCAACCATTGAATTATTTAAGAATTAAGGGTATTTAATGTAGCCCAATTACTTAACGTGGTCTCCAAGTATGATGTGTCTAATTCCACTAAAATCAGAATGCCCTTGTTTCTAGTCATCTTGGAGAACATAAAATTCACGGCACAGCTAAGAAGCACTACGTGTAAATAGCTCACTTCCAGCATAGTTTCACATAAAGGACCCATGCAATGCAATTTTGATAAGACTAGACAGTTCAAGTGTTAAAGAAGTTTAGCCCACCCCAAGCCCAAGCCATTCCTAACAATCATGATTCAATGATCAAAGATTTGTTTGCTTCAAGCAAGCATTCCATGAAGGAGAAGCCAGTAGGAGTGCTTTGAAATGAAGACTCAAGTGAATGGAATGGAGGTGACTAGAGAACAATATAGAGAAGAGGAAAATTAAGGGATTCAGATCACAGGCTGAGTTGGGAACTGAGGAGGAGGAGGAGGAGGGTGGTGGTGGTGGTGGTGGTGGTTGTTTTGGGGAGCAACATGCAGAACTTGAAGGCAGGAGCCAGAGCTGATAAAAGGCTGAAGTACAGAAACCAGGAAGGGAAGAGGCTTGGAGGGTTTATGGGGCAGGGAAATAGAGATGCGATGTCATTTGTCACATTTATAAACAGAGTTTACAGTCAAGTTTCATATTTGGTGAAGTGTTTCGAGACCTTACTTCAGGGTTAAGCTAAAACAACTGGAAAGGGGACAGGGATGTGCCAGCGCAGGGACTCACCGGCCATTGTCGCGGCCCACGCCCCACACACGGATGCTCACGATGGGCTGTGAGTGCAGCACTGTGCGGTCCATGGGGTCGACCAGGCTGAGCATGTCGTTCTCCAGTATCAGGTACATGTCTTTGCCCTGGGATTCAATGAGAAAATGCCTGTCATCTTTATGGGGGCTCTGCTCTCCCATCATGTTCCTGGTGATCAAGGGCCACTTTCAAAAGAAGCCCTTGGGTCTAGAATTTGTTTTCTGAAGAGGGAAACAGTTTTCCCCGACTAAACTATTCATTAGTCTTTCCCAATCCCCCTTACATCCCCAATTTCTCTCTCCTTCCCCAAGTCCTGTGACATGAGTCCCCAGCTTGATTTCCAGTTGGCTTTTATTTTTAATTATTTCACTTGTGAATCTTTAAGAACATGGGTTAATGTGATGTCCTGGAGAATCTTCTTTTTTGAACTCTATGCCCCTCTAATAACCCCTCTCTCTCCATTTTTCTGGCCACACCCTCACAGGCATCCATCCACTTGAAGACCCTCCATGATCCAAAACCACCTCTGTCTGTCTTCCACTTTTACACTATGACATGTCTATGTGATGTGCTGGCAAGCAGCAGGCACGGTCTGTGACACTTCTCAGTGCTGACAATGACTTCATGTCTATACGCCCATTGCCTGCGTCTAGGATACTGTGCTGGGTGCTTGAGATGCACTGGATCATGAACTCTCTAAATTGCCCCGTGAAGGCTGGCTTACTATCTCCAACTAGCACTTGAGGAAACTAAGGCATACAGCCACCTGCTGGAGGTGATGCAGAACCTGAGACAGGTACACGCCGAGATTGAGGGAGCACCTAGGTTTCTTACCATAGTCACTCAGGTCAGTAAGCTTTGGTGTCATCTCCCCACACCTTGGCTCTTATAGGACAGGAACACTAGACTACTCAATTTCCGGCCCTCAGGCGTAAGGTTAGGAACCATCAACCATCTGGTGTGCAGCTAAAGATCATCTCTCTGAAGGATGCCCAGATTCTGCAGCACTGGAACTAGGGAGGCCTCTCTGGGCAGGCAGGGAGGCTTCTTAGTGGGTCTTCAAATCCCAGAGTGAGATGGGTCAACTGCTCTTTGACAACATTTTTGACAATGATGTTTTTGATTCCTATCAAAAGTTTTCAAAGTGCATTCTGCGCTGATGTCCAGGATGGCAGGAAGGTGTGTATCAATGCCTCTGCCAGTCAGTTAAGCTATGGCCAGTGTTTCTACAGCTGAGAGTCAGAATGATCTAAATTCTTCCTCAAAGAGCAGTGACCCCATTTACAGATGAAATCAGAAAATACAATTGGGGAGACTGATGAGGCTGAAGAAATGCTACAGAGCCTGGAACAGGTTCATCCCGTCTCAGACCCAGGGTACCTCCATGTTAGTCACTCCATGTCGGTGTAAATCACAACAACCTTCCTTCTACATCCTACCTAAGGACTGTTCTTTTGGAGGGACCATATTTTGACTGAAGGAGAGAGAGGAGAGCAAGGTGGACCACTTAGGCCTGGTTATTTGGATGGTGAGTAGAAGAAAAAAACAATGAGAAGATGTGAAAGTTAAGCACTGAAAATGTATACAGGGTTTTCCTGGATAGAAGAAAATTCTTTCTCTTCTCCTCCTCCTGCCGGGGATCTAAAATTCTGTCTGGCAAAACAGTGCAGGCCCATATAAAGGCAGACAGACTCCACCAAAGGAAGCCTTGGGAAGCCACCTTCCTCCTGCTAGGAGGAAGTGTGAGTGGAGCTGCAGACGGCCCAGCCTGAAAGCAAACTGGCCACCAGTGTTCCCTGGACGTGGACTGAGCAGGGTACAGTCATGCAGCAAGGCTATCCTAGGGTACTTCTGCAATGCTGGTTCTGCAGCTCTCAGAACCACGGCAGGAATGAGGCTTTTTCCTGTTTTCATATGATTTTTATACAAATTTGGTGTTTTTACTTATTCCTTTCCTTTCTGAAATTTTCTCAACTAACATTTTGAAATGGAATGACTTTGTTCAAAGTGAGAAAGAATACACAGGTCACAATTCCACAACTCAGGCAAAATGTGGATCTTCATACTGTAAATAAAGAAGACGGTGCTATCAAAGGACATGCAGTCTAATTTCACAGTGGGGGCATCAACCTTCTTGCACCTATAGGTGGGGGGTCACATCCCCCCTTAGATATTTTGAGAAAGCTCTGGGTCTTTTCTCCAGAAAACTGTTCTTAATAGACTAGCACACTCATTTCATATGCAAAATCTAGAAGGTTTCTGGGCCCCCAAAGTTCACCCATGGATCTTTGAGGATTTGATGATTCCAGGGGGATTCTGTCATTTAGCCACTGAGAAATGCTCTCTCCCAGGGTCCTAGTCTTACTGGGACATAGTAGTGCTAACAGTAAGCCACATGGGTATACCATGCCAACTGCATGCACCTTCATGGGGAAACAACCCTGACAAACACCTCAGAGCCACTCGGTACCATACCTCACAGATCCCTGGGCTTCACGTGCTGCTTACCTCTCCCCAAATGCCAACTGTATCTCGGATGTCATTTTTGCAGTAAGAGAGCTGCCTGATGCAGTTGTTGACAGCAACGCTGCTTTTTCCAGGGGCGAGGTCCTCCTCTGCCATCTCTACCCATCCCAGAGAGCGCACAGCGAAACACTGGAAGACAAAATCGGAAGGCAGGAAATGATTCACTCGTCCTGCTCAATCTGTATCAATTTATCCTAAAATCCTTGGGCTACTACAAGGTGTGCTTAATGACTTTTAATTACCTCATTATATTCAATCATCTAGTTCACTTAGCAAATCCTTTATTGTGATAAAATTAAACTGTGGCTGTTTTTTACTATTTTAAAATGTAGGGAAATGTAGGGATGATCTTGCCTAACTTGCATAGTGTGTTCAGATATTTTTCCTTAGAACAGATTATTAAAAATACAATTATAGGGCTAATGGGTACAAAAATTTCCAAGCTCCATGATCTATTTAAGACAGATTTTTTTTGTTTGTTTACCAGTAAGAAATGCTGTTAAACCCCGTGAGATCTGTTATTGTTAAGCACATAGGAAAAGAAGAGAGAATGAATTAAATACTCATTTCTAATAAGAAGCACAATGTTTAATGCTCAGAAAGGAAAATGAGGAAAAATGTACTTTTGTGGTAATAAGTCACCTGAGGTCTGACAGCATTTATTATTAGCACCAAACCCAGAAATGCTTGAAGGGCACATGCTGTTGTGAGACGGCACAAATCCTATACACACTTGCAATCCTGTACAATTAGGCACAAATCCTGTACACTCTTCCAGTGGTATTTTATTTTGAGATCACATCCCTGTCTTCCTTCTTAAAGTTCTAGTATGCATTTTTTTCCCTTTAAGTTAAAAGGTATTATGTGCTTATTTTTTTTTATTTTTTAAAAAATGTTTAGTTGTACATGGACAAAATACCTTCATTTTAATTATTTATTTTTATGTGGTGATGAGGATTGGACCCAGTACCTTACACATGCTAAGCAAGCTCTTTACCACTGAGCTACAGGCCTAGCCCAGACTTCATATGCTTATTTTAACAAGCGAACATCCCAATGAAAATTCACAGGATATTTGAGGGCGATGTGGCTGTGGTATCTGCTGTGCTTTGGGTCACCAAGGTTGTTGATCTGCTGGATGGTCTAAGCTGTGGTCCCTCATCCCTGCCTGAATCCCAAGATCCCTCTGAGCTGCGTGTCAGTTGAAGAGCACCTTCCCAGGACAGAAGGGGCAATGAAGCAGCCACATGCTTCCTTGGGAGCCAATAGACTGGCTCTTGAAGAGCAGCTTGGAAAGTTTCCAAAATGAACTTCAAAACAAAATGAAGAAACCTGACAACACTGCGTCCAGTTCAGCCTTCTCCATCCCAGCCACCTTAACCAGACGGGGCACCTCTTTCCCAAGCGGCTAGTCACACTTTCTCTGCAGAAGAAGTCCACCAAAAGGCCAAAGACAAATATCAATGGCACAAAGAGGCTCAAAAACAGTCAATGGGCACATGTGGCTCAAGAACAGAGACAGCCTGGAGTTGTCTCAGCTTTGCTTTATAGATACTGAGAACTTGGCCAGCTCACTCACTAAAGTACCAGTTTTTTGTTTTTGTATTTGTAAAAATGGGAATACTTATAGTAATAGATCCTTCACAAGGTTTTTGTGAAGAGAAAACAATACAGAGAACTTAGCACAAAGAAAACACTCAATGATCACTTGTTAAATGAATGAGCAAATAAATACAGTGCCATATAAATCTTATCTGGATTCATCTGAGGTGAAAAATGAAAGGGGCAGAATATCTGTAATCAAGGTGACCATCTCACAGTTCCCCCATGATAGATAGTTCTGATTTATGCTCATTATTTTGACAAAACTAAGAGTATCCCCCCCTTTTTTATTGTAAAAGCATTCTAGGTTGGACAAAAAACTAACAAATTAATGCTCAATTTTGTCAAAATTATAGATTAGACTCTGGTGTGGACAGGAGGCGTGGACATGAGGCCTGGACAGGGGCACAGTGATTCACTCAAGAAATGGGGTTCAAGATTGACTGAAGATGCTCTTAGCAGACATCTTAGTGATCCTGCCAGGGGTCTCTAAGACACCAGTATTACTGTGGGGTGTTCACAAATCCTCAGAGCCAGACGCCAGGAACACATTTTTCCATGTAGCTGCCTCTTACACAATCCTCCAACCTGTAGATACTCAAAAGAATTAACAATAAAGAAGGTAAAAGAATACTGGCTGCTCTTTGCCCCTTGGGTGGAAGAACACATGGATTTCAACCTGAACAACCTCAGTAAAACCAAAGAGTGTCTTTCTTGGTTAAGAAACATGAATTATCCAACCCACCACAGAAAGTTCCAGAATGAAGTTCTGTCAGGCTGATAAGAAGGAAACCAAAGCCCCAACTAAACCATTGTTATAATGAATTTATTTAAAATCACTTCCTTTGAACAATCCTGCAGTTGTTTGAATTTAGTTTCTCAACTGAAAAGTGCTACCACTATTCCATGTGGCCAAAGAGAAGGAATCTGGTGCACATGGAATACTGAGCTCCTCCAGGGAAGCCAGCATGGCTTCCTCCCTAAGAGCAGAGTGGCTGAGGGCTGCTGGTACTTTCGGTGCTGCCCCCGAGTGGACAGGAAGGTTTATAACCACCAACACCTTCCTTTCAACTGAGGAGATAAGTGACACTTTGGGTAATCATCTGTAGGAACAAACACCCATTTTAGGGTATGGAAAGAGCGGAAAATACTTAATCAAATCAAATCACCTGTCTTCCAAAATACTTTTTTTTAGATTTTTGATAACAAAAAAATCTTCATATGCACTTTGTTTGTTCATTCCTCAATAGCTCTTAACCAAAAAGATACTAGTTATTATTCATGTTTAAGGGATCAGAGTCATGGTTGAATTTGCAGGGGCACCGCTGTTGGCCTGAGTTTCCTTCTTTCCCCTTGTTCTCTCTTCTCCCCACTGCAATCAAGTTGTCATATTTTATCTGGAACATTCATCCAATTTGCAACTTCTATCTCTGCAAGTCCTATATTAAGAGAGAAATGCCCAGAGAGTCTCTCCCTAATACACATGAAATGGAGTAGAACACAGTGCAAAGCCTTGGTTTCTACAGCCACACAGTCCTGGGTTTGAATTCCTCTATTTCAATCAGGGGAAGTTCAGCTACCAGGACTCTAGGTTTACTTAGAGATGCCAGAAGATTCCAAGGAAATGAAGATGGTGAAGTAGCTGGCAAACTGCAGGAATTCAAGCAATGTTCACTTTCTTCTCTTCTCATTGGCTCAAGAAGACTATTGCTTCAACCTTAGTTTTCTGTACAATCTTCCATTTCTCCTTAACCTGGCTGAACTTCTAGGTCTCTGGCCTTTTCTTTCCCTCGAACTCTGACAGAGATAAGCAAGATGACAGTAATGATGGCAGAAAACTGGGGACCTCACTCATGGAGCTAGAGAAGATAGGGCACGGGCCTTGCCTCTAGCCAGGGGAGCTGCATTCATGCCCAGAACCAAAGAAGATGGTGGCTAATGTCTATTAACGTGGCACATTTGGTGCCCAGCACAGTCAGTGCTCTGTAACTGTAGAGGGAGATTGACACAGAGGTAAATGGCACCTGAATTGGGAGCAAATTATAGATACTTAAAAAAAAAAAAGTTCACCCAGAAAAGCTAAAATGTGGTCTAACACTATAAATGCAATCCTAGTTACACTCGTTTATAGGAATTACCATTTAAGCCTAATTATGGAGTGGCACAGTAACAACTGTATATTGAAGTCAGTGGACATTATTAAGTACCCATTATTTCTCAGAGACCTGCAGAGAGGAGCAAGACGAAGTCCCCAACTCTTGAGAAACTTGTGAAAGGGTACCCACATAGTGGAAATCTGCCCCCATGGAATAAGAGGACACAGTGGCACAAGCTTATGTTGGGAGCTCATGGAAGAAGTTGGGTTCAGAGAGGGGGTTATGCAGGTTTCTGAAGGAGATGATATTGAGCTCAGTCATGTAAAATGAACGGATCCATTCATTCACAAGCATTTAGGGTACTGACTATACCTAGCAAAAGAGACTCATCAGTGAACCGAACAAACCAAACACTCTGTTCTGAGCTGTACTTCAAAAATCTGCAAGGACATATTCATTTGACTGCCACACCAAAGGTTCCACAGCTCCACCACCATGGACCAAGATATATGAAGTATGACCATATGGGGGGAGGCGGGGAGGAACAGTGAGCACTGTGTGTTAGGGCTCAGGTTTCTAAGCCACTGACCTTGGGATCAAATTTCAGGTCAGCCACTTATTATAACTTATCAGACAAGTTACTTGGTTCTGGCAAGCCTCAGTTTCCTCATCTGTTAAAATGAGGGTGACAGTATGGACCTCCATGGGGACTGGTGTGATGGGATGGGATGACTTCTGTTAAGCAGTGTGCCCAGGGCCTGGCCCAAGGAGAGGGGCTGAGAAAAGGAGGCTGTTATTTTCTCAAAGTACTGAAATCAATGTTGTATCAAAGTATGGTTATTTTCTCAGAGAATTGTGTCAGGGTTGGAGAAGACTGCCGAGGGCCAGTTGCACCGATCCTGTTTCACTAAGGACACACCTTCAATGGGAAGGGTAAGGGGAGATCCTGGGCCTGGTGAAAAGGTGGGGTGCGCTGTCCTCTGAAGGGCAGGCTCCATCTCATCAACTGCATTCAGGGGTTTTTTAAATCATGGGAGTTTCATGGATGGGTTTCAGGAAGTTCTAAATCCCTGAAAATATATCCAGGATTGGGTGTGTGTACCTGTTATGGAAACGGGGTCCAAAACTTTCACCAGTTTTCCAAAGGCTACAAGACTAGGAAGGACTTTAAAGGGATTCCAAAGAGGTTCAATGCACAGTGCTCACTGATCAAGATGTCAGCCGGAGCACGTGTACTGGGAGCAGAAAAAGTTCACCAGCTGGCATCGGGGTTCTTTCTGGCACATGGATGGGGAAAATGGTTAAATGGCTCCGTGTAAGAAATCACCAGGAATATCGGGGTCAACAGAAGAAATGGGCACAGGGAGGTAGAGAGGGACCAAGGATGAGTCACACGACCTCTGGGGGAACCGGAGCTTGAGCTGCAGGTGA